CTGCTGCTACTGCTGCTGCTACCACTGCTGCTGCTACAGCTGCTGCTGCTGCTGCTACTGCAACTACTACTGCTCCTCCTCCTCCTCCTACTACCTACGACCTACTACCAACTACTGCCGCTGCCACTACCACCACCACTACTACCACAATGGTTCGTATCTTTGTTGTCTTCATAGAGGGGGGCAGAGGGGGGCTGCCGGGTCATTTTTTGGCTCCCACTTGGCACCGTCAGCAAGCTGACACTGCATGGCAGATCACATGTCAGATACGGCCACTTCGCAGCAGTCGGGTTCACTGCCACCAAGCTAAAGACTAACTCAAGGCAGGCCACAAGAAAGGTGCAGTGCAGTTCCCATACAGCAAGAAAACTGCTTTCACTGCAAGCTCAGCACAGTTCTAGGTTTCCAAGGAGTGAAACAAGGCTTGAGAAGGGCTCAGACATTGCAGAACTCAGCCACATTGCCACATTCCAGCAGTCATGTTCCAGAAGCGTTGGGGCACTCTGGAGGCAAGGTGTCATCTGTGTTGATTGACACCACGCTCTCAGCACCAGCTCATGCCAGATGACACCACACCAACAGCCACTGCATGGCACACCATCAGCACTCAGGGTGCAAGCAGTGTTCTTCCCCTCCCTCCATCTCCACAGCTGTCAAGAAAACCGGTTGCGAACGCAGTGATCCTATGTACTGTCCACCATGTGCTTGTGCTGTATGACCTCTGCTCTCAGAACATAGGTCGGCAGCATCTGCGCACAGTCGCAGGAAGGGGCATGCGCCATTGCAATGTAGCCAGTCCACCATCAGCACTCAAGGTGCCAGCAGTGTCCACTTGTCCACTGTCGCCAGCTCGATAGTCGCCAGGAGTCTGGGTGAGCAGTAGAAGGCACCACGGTCTTTCGCACATTCTCAAGAAAGGTTTCACGCGCCAACCCAGTACAGCCAGTCCACCATCAGCACTCAAGGTGCCAGCAGTGTCCACTCGTCGACAGTCGGCAGCTCTAAAGCGGTCGAGATACCAGGTGAGCAGCGGACGGCACCCACGCCAGGTGAGCATCGGTAAGCGCCAACAGAAGCCCTCCGTACGATTCATCATACTCTGAGCACAGTTCATCCAAAGACAGACGCTGGCAGAAGACGAAGCCTCCCGGAACTCAAGCTGCAGCTGACCATGAAAAAGGTCCATATCCTCCATGCCTATGCAGAGGCGGTTGTGGCATCACAGCTCCACTGTCCACAGAAGTGGGACTCCCAGAGGCAAGTGTCGCGTCATAGTTCGTGACTTGTCGTCGACACCTATGCAGAGGTTGTCGGGGCATTTCCAAACGCCTCGCCTCCAGACAGTGAAGGAATTGCAGCATCGAGACAGCATGGGCCATGGCTAGCAGTGCGCGGGGTAGTGGTTTGATTAGGGACAACCACCAGGAACAAACGGTGAAGGTCTAAGAGGCCAGGGTAAGGGGTGACTCCGACCGACCAGTCCCAGACCAAGTCGAAAGAGAAGGGCAAGGCAGTGCAAGGCAGGCAGGGGGGCAAGCAGGGGGGGCAAGGCAGTGCAAGCAAGGAAGGCAGTGCGCAGTCAGTGCAAAGTGAGGTTTTTTTTCCGGGTCATGGCAGCTAATATTATTCTAATTATATATGCTCTCTGCCTCCCACCTGGTTATTATCACGAGGAGTGAGCCTGCTGGGGGGAAGCCTGTAGGCATATTAGTTAAGTTATGCGTTATTCGTATCGTCATTACCATTTCTATTCAGTCACTGTTATGACTGGTGTGATTGCTGTTTTTTAAGAAAAGTGACCAGTATTGGAACGACGGGCACTTCATAATACTAGTGCCTTCGCTGTTGCTAATACGATTATTGTGGCTATTACTGTTTTTATCTCCATCATTACCACTACCACTACGAGTACTACTACTACTACTACTACTACTACTACTACGACTACTACTACTACTACTACTACTACTACTACTCCTACTACTACTACTACCACGACCACCACCATTACCACCACCGCTGCCACTGCCACTGCCACTGCCACTACTAGCAACAGTACCAGCACCGGTACCAGCACCACCACCACTGCCACTACGACGACGACTACTACTGCTGGTACTACTACTGCTGGTACTACTACTACTACTACTACTACTACTTCTGCTACTACTACTACTACTACTACTACTACTGCTACCAGTGCTGTACTACTACTACTACTACTACTACTACTGCTACTCCTCCTCCTCCTACTTCTCTACTACTACTAGCACTCCTGCCACTACAACTACTACTACTACGACGCCGACGACGACTACTACTACTACTTCGACTACTACTGCTAGCACTACTACTACTGCTACTACTACTACTACCACTACCACCACTACTGCTAC